GCGCGGCCGTTCCGGTGAGCAATTCTTCATACCGCGCCCCATCGTTGCTCCTCCAAGTAGCTGAATTGACTCACTATTAGTATTTGTTACACATACGCTATCTGTTTGTTTTATCATTATATTTACTTACCTGTAATTTAGACCAGGTCCTCAACCTAGCTGTGGTCACAGGTTATTACAACAATGTTTACATTGTGGAACGCAAAACGATTTAAAATTTGTTTTATCGTTCACCATGATTCACTAGGAACTTTATGAATTGAGTAATATAGAGTTATGAACATTTATGTCTTAAGAGATTAATTTACTGCGTTTTGAATAAATAGTCTGTCATTATTTAATTGAAACTGTCAAAAGCCTAGTTTCACTTGATTAATGTAACTAAATAGATATTTTGTATCATATTTACCCCTGTGACACATTGCTCTACACTTTACATCATTAGTTAGGTATACGTACGCTGCAAAAAGAAGAGTGAATATCATAATAATGTACTCTAGCTTATATAAAGATATAAATTTACAAACACTATTGTGTTTCATTTATCCTCAAATATTTTTTGACACTGCAAAATCAAAAAGAAAATATTTGTACATTCAATACTATTTCCAGATACTATTAATTCTAACTTAGACTATTTTTTTCCCTAGATAATTGAATTCACATTTAATTTTCTACGTATTTTTCGCTTTAAGCAATGTTACTTAAAAGAATATAATTATATTATACTCTTAAAACCCAGCTGTTATTTTATTCATTGAAACCAGTACAGGTCTCAAGTTTAATCTGGGAATTAAATTTCGTGTAGCAAAGTAAAGTAAGTAAGGTAGTTGATTAGGAGTTTATTTTAGAACAAATATTAACTTCTAATAAACGTAAGTGCTTACAATTTTGAAGTTTTGGGTCGCTTTGAGTAGGTTGCGATAATACAACCGAAGTAATGTAAAAGTTTTTTCTCTTGACAACACTTATAAAATTATTTATAAATACTCACTCCTCATCATGATATGTTTTGTTACTCAATTGCTCCTACGATTTCATAAATATAATATGACACGTACAATGCACTTCTGACGTGGTGTCATCGTAATAAATTTTCTGCTTTAAAATTTTGACCTGGTTTGCCCAATAATGTCATTAAAAAGTTAACGATGCAGATACTGTTTAATCATACTGTAATTAAATAATATCGTATACTGTAAGTCATGGTTTTGGTGCAAAAATCAATCAAACTTTTAAACCAATAGAAACCGTCAGAGTGTTTTAAATTCTCGTATATTGACTGTATCCACATAAAGAACTTTACATAATCTCTATGTTTTGGACACCAATCTAAATAGTAAGAAAAGTAAATCTTAATTTTTGTGTTCAACTGATCTAATTCTGTATGTGCTTAGTGTTAAGTATAAGCTATAATAAGTTAATATTTCTTCAGAATAAAATGAATGAAATTCTCGAAATTTGTAAATAATAATAGAAATATTAAATTTTCCTAGCACTTTATTTAAGAAAAGATATTCGTTTACAGAGATATTTATATTAAATGATGTTATATTAAAATCCTTTGACTAGATAAATACTTAAACATAAATATGATATCGAGATAAAGTATAAGAAAACGTATTACTACTACGGTATTAGTACCCACGGTTTAGGTTTTAATAATAAATGGTTATCACCGCATATTTCAGAGCAACAATCTCAAGACTCCAACGTAGATTGAAAGTTAAGGTAAATTAGAGCAAATGTTATTTTAGTAGGCTTCGTTCGAAGACACTACCGTGTGTATAATGATTTAAACAATATTATTCGCTGTAGTAGTCGCATAGTTTACGTCTGTGGTTGCCTGGGCTGTAAAAGCATATCCTCCAGGAGTATGATGATACTCCTGGAGGATATGCGTTTACAGTCCAGTCTGTGTGATGCACAGACAACACGATAGGCTCCTTATGAAATGTATCTGCCTGGCATACGTATCGACTGCACGGATGGCGTAGTGGTTTAAGCGGTCGCCACGCCGCTTCCTACTACACTTTGTGTGATCCACAAATTGTTGTTCTGAGTCTGGGTGTTCTTTGTGTCCGTTTCATGTATGTTTGTAAAGTCCCCCGCGACACAGGATTTATTCCTAATGCGGGCGTTGTCTTTTTAAAAAAAAAAAAATACTTTGTAGAAATAACAACATCACGTCAGGTGTTCAAGCATTCAGTTTCGTCAAATTGTTAGGCCATATTATATACATAGAGCACATTGCAAAATCTTTCACATCATATCAAGCAGCATCCAATGTGTCAACTTTTTAAAATATTACAAAGAGAATTGACTTCATTATAATTAAATACGAAAATTATGATTAGGAAAAATGTTTCTTAATGTTTAGAAAATATTAAGAACCATGCGTTATATTATGTATTTTTACATACATACTCGTAAATTATTTAATACAATATTTTCTTGCGATCATTATTTATTATTTAAATTTTTTCTTGATGCAAATTCCTGGCACTTCCAAAGAAATTATGGTTCCTACTTAATTTTATTATTTAATTTCACCAATTATATTTCTTAACGGGTTTGCAAGTTGCTCAACAAAAGAACATAATATGTCCTTTCTCTGTTTATAAATGACATATTATTGTTGAGAAACTTGCAATGAATTTCACTTTAAGGTACCATACACATATCTCACTACACTAAAAGCGTTACACATTTAATAGCCAGATATTGAAGAAACAAGTGTATAGATTTTTTTATTATTTCTTTCCATGAATTTTATATTTTATTTACACATGATATAGCATGTACAAGACAATTTTTTTGTAGATACAGAATTTGACCCATGAAGTGGTGAAATATTCTGTAATACCTTTCTTAGTGATATGTTATGTCAACACTTATATTGATTTTATTATTTACGTAATTAAGCTGGCCACTAAACTTAGACATTGATTCTTCTGTGTGTCAGCTAATAAGCTTTAGTATTATAATTATAACAATGGACAAATTGGGACTTCTAGCGTTGGTGAATTTTTAGGTGAAGTGGAATCAATTACATCTCTAGTTTCCTAATTCAGTCTCATAATTGCGCATACATAAGGTAAAAGGTTTAATAATATTAAGGATTTTGAAGAAGCGTCGAAAGCTTATAGATTAAATTTATAGGCTAAAAAAAACAACGAAACAAAATGCTAAGAGCTTTTTGATCCGTTGTTTTTTTGAATTTGCCCAATAAACACAGAGTTTAATAGATTATAGAAGACGTTATTTAATATGTAACAGATTAGTGATGATAACGTACATTGATATTATTATTTATTTCCGTTGTTATTTAGTTCTTTGTAATTTTTACTTGAAAAAGTAACTTATAATACTATTGGTAATCAAGTTATTTTAGTTTGAAAAGTGTTCAGGTCAATATCAATGCTAGTGACACAACAAAAATGTGATACTTAGGTGCTAATTCAAATTTAAAAACTTTATTAAGTTTTTAATGCGTAGTAGAGATCAAAAGAAATGTTTGCAAAAAAATAATCTGAGTAATCATTAGAAATGAAGTTAACTCCAAATTAAGTACTTTGTGATGCACATGAATCATTAAAAACGTTACGTTGGTTTCAATTGTTTGTTTTTAATTTTTTTAATAAAATGGTAATGCAGACTTATATAACAATAGGTAACTATTAACTTTTTGTTTATATAGGAGTTTCAAAATATAATTAAAATGATTGGAATAATGTTAATTCAATATAAAGTTAACTGTTATATTTTAACACTCGTTATAATACATTACATACTCATAACTCTATTACTGATCTTTAGGATCTTTATGAAATTAATATCGGAGTTTTAATTCTAGTGAATGAATGAATAAATTTAATATAGGTAAAAACATCAATATATCAAAAGTAATAATATTATTATCAAAAGTATTCGCATTTTTAAAAATATATCTAATAAAATAAAACAGCTATCTTAAAGATTCTAATACCTTGAAAGATTGGTGACATTTACAATTTTATTTGATCTTAGGGAGGATTCTGATCCTGGGAGTTAGGGCATAGTGACATGCTGAGGGCATACCATTAGTCAGGCCGAAAAACTTAAGTAGCGACTTTAACTTAAAATTTTCATGAATTACTCGTATTATTTCAATTATTTTATCAAACTAACAATAAACACCTTAAAATTATGTGCATCAATTATATAATGTAATAACTAATATAATTAACTTTATCTTGTACCTAAAATCAAACGAATTTAAATTGGTCGATAAATTAGTTACCTGTTTGATTCACGTCAACACATGATGAACTGATTTTATGTCTTAAGTGTAACGAAATAACGACAATATCATTGTCACATATGTTATTATTATGAAAATAGAAATATTTTATTCACAATTAGAAACATCAAATTTAATTTACCGAAATTGTTATGTACAATATCTCATTCCTGTTTATTAAACCGTATTGCTTGTGAAAGTTGTAGCACAACTGACGCAAACAGATTTATTATGTACCATTAATTAGGTTTGTCCATGCCAAAGTAACAATAAGATTATTAATCTTCAAGGATGGATAAAAATCTTATTGTATTACTTGTATTTACTATGTATGACATTAGAATATGGCGGATGAGTTTAGTTAATTTTAATGAGAAAAAAAAATCTCTCTAAACACATTATCTACCAAGCTCGTGAGATTATAAAAGATTTCTTTAACTTAATGAAAAGTGATACCAATCGAGATTCTATTACATATAAGAGAAGTTTCTCATCAATGCGAAAAGGTAACGTACAGTGATAGGTATCTGTCGCGAATTGGACTCATTCCAAAAATCTCTATTATTCTGCGTCTATATGGATAAACCTTCATCAAACATTTCCACACAGGCAAATCATATGACCGTTGCTATTGTTGACATAAAATTAATTACATATAAAAGAAGTCTGACATATATGTTAACTATGAAACAATGGTTGGCTAACATAGGGACTCAGTTTAGTTTAAGGAATTGGCATAACACGCAAATATTATGACTATAGAGAGTAAAATATGATCTACATGACAGCGAGGCGATAAATTCAGTTTGGAACTAACGATTTTGACAGGCAGCTGAGTCGGGGCCGGTTCGATGCGAACGACGTTAACTGTAAAACAAATGTAAATTTAGTACTAAAATAATAAGCTAGAATACTTGTTACTCTAGAAGTCCAATTTATAGATTAAACCGTAAAATAATACTTATTTATTAAAGTTTAGAGCAATTATTTTAATTTGAGCGTTTATAATTTTAAGAAATTAAATAAGAAATTATTACGAGTATTTCTACATTATAATTTTCATCGTCCTCGTTTATCAATTAATATTATAGAAAAAAATATCTGCCTCGATTCTGCAAAAATCCTTCCTGAGTGGTATTTTTAGTACAACCATACAAATATAGGAGGATGTGTGGCATCCTGTCAGTACATTGAGTGGCAGGCTTAATTTGATCTCGTCACACGTGCTCGGAATTCAATTTCATCTCGAATTAGAAATGATTTAAACATATTCATGTGCTCATTCTTGTTTTCTGAGCGACAAATGAACATAGTCCATCTAAAAATCTTTTATATGTGTATACTTATGGTTGTACGTTGTTTTATGGAATTTCGTTTCACATAAAAAAAAAACATAATAATATTTTATAGAATAATCAATACGCAGAATATTGACTTCGATTTTTTTAAAATAATGTTTTTGTTAGAATAAAAATATAATGTTTCGATATTTATTTCATAGAATAACAATTCAAACATTCTTTATTCTCATATTGTTTAGTTAGTACAAAACTTGTTACGAAGAAAAACACTTTATAGATTTTCTTTGACAAAATGTATGTCCAGATGCCCTCTGCAGAACATAGGCCTCCCTTAAGGTTCACCACAACGACCGGTCCTGTACTGCCCGCATCTAAAGGCCTTCCGCGGCCTTCACCACGCTGCGTTTTCCAGTACGCGTTCGCCACGCGAGAACTTGGTGGCCCAATCGGCCATTGTTTCTGCGAGCAATGTACCCCCACCTGCCACTTAACTTTGGGGCTTCTTCGGGGAATGTAGATGACCTTGTTTCGTCTGCGGATCTCCCCATTCCCGATTCGATCACTCAGAGAAACTCCGAGTATTGCTCTCTCCATTGTTCTTTGAATAACTTTGAGCCTTCCTATGAGGCCCATTATGAGCGACAACGTTTCTGCACCATATGTCATCACCAACGAAAAAGTGTCACGCAGCTTCCCGAATGTTGCCCAACCTAGTTGGATTCGACGATTGACATTTTTTCAAAGTTGGACCTACCTAACTGGATAGTTTGTCCTAGATAAACGTAGGCGTCAAGAATTTCGAGCGTAGAGTCACCAGTTTTCACTTAAGTGGGTTCGACACGGGCGTTCGACATAATTTTCGTTTTATCGTTGTTCATTTTAAGACCCACTCGTTTAAAGATCCCACTAAGGTCATCGAGCATTTTGCTAAGGTTTTCCTTGGTTTCAGCAATGATAACTATAATAGCAGCATGATTGCTCAGTATATCACCCACCTTTGCTGATGCAAAGGCGGGTGATATACTTGCCATTGAGGTTGATGCCAAGTCCATTTCAGTCCAAAAGCTTGAAGACGTCTTCCAGTGCTCTGATGTACAGTTTCAGATATATTTTATCTCTCTGCCTCACAACTCGCTGTTATTTTTTGAGCTTTGATGCTTTAGATGGCCTGACATAGTAGCGTTCTTGTAGAAACATTTCAACACTTCGTATGGCAGTCGCCTTGGCACCGCTGGAGAGACTAGCATAGCCCAAGTTTCGATCGAATCAAATGCTTTCTCATCGTCCACAAACGCCAAGCATAAGGTTATACTCTTCGGACTTCTGTATAACCTACCACAGATCTGTGGTTCTAAAGCCTTTTCGAAAACCGGCTTGTCCGAGAGGCTGAAAGTCAAACATCATGTCTATAAACTGTTTTCGAGAGAGATTACGAATCTGACGTCCAGTATGTCTTCGGTATAGTGTCGGGTTAACTTAGCCCTTAGATCTTTAGATCCCTTAAAACTTAGCCAGGATCCAGTGTTGCCATGTACAACTGCCCATAGAACCTCTCCACCTCACTCAGAAGCTCAGGTCTCGACGTTAAAATTCTACCATCATCGGTCTTCAGTTTCGTCAACTGACTCTGCCCAACAGACAGAGCTCTAGTTTTTCTCTATAGCCTCTTTAATACGCAAGGCATTAAATGGGTTTGGGTGGTGGTTTTTCTTTGAATCTTTAAGATCTGCCTATTAAGCTGCTGGTATTTAGACGCATCGTCTGAAGACTGCAGAGTAATGTTTCGTCTTTCCTCCATGCGCTTCAGCGTGTGGTCATGGAACCTATTGGTTCTATTTGTACGACGGATTTTGAAGTAACTGAGACCTGACCGTATGGACTGTTTCACTAACCGGTTACTGAGTTGGTTCGTATCAATGCAGTTCTCGAGGGTTTCATCATGGACTTCATCAACCGCAATCTTTCAAGCTTGGTGTTCATATTCAATGTGCTTTCAACCAGTCTGTGATCGCTTCTGGTTTTTAACATGTTGATCACAGAGATAATTGAATATTAGCCTCTTCGACGACATAATGAAGTGGATTTCATTTTTCGGCGGGGCTTCCCATCGGGGCTCATCCAGGTAGATTTATGGTGTTCCCGCTCCCGGAAGAAGGAGTTCATATGGTAGAGTCTCTCCTTCTACATGAAGCCGGCCAGTAGTTGGCCCCGGTAGTTTCATTGACCAACTCCAAATTGCCCCAATCGCGCTTTGATTGAACATATTTAAAAGCGTATGTTTTTTGTTTAAAAAAATAGAATTTAGAAATAACTATATGGGCTTTTGATAATCAAAATATTACTTTTTCAAAAAGCGCCAAGCTTCACATTATTTTAATTTGTATTGGAAAGTTACATTATAATAATGAGATGTAGTTTTTTTATGTACCTACATTCTGATAATTATTGAAAACAATCTTACCGGTGACGGTATTATTTTGCACATCAGCAAACCCTTCTCCTAGGCTCGCGTAGCTCGGTATTGTGCTTAAACATGTGACGTCCACCGTTTGGTTCGGATGCAACTGTAAGCTCGTCAATGGGAATGCCAGGGATGAATTGGTCAAAGACAAAGGCATTCCATGGTGGTGGCGACGCACATTTACCGTACCGTGGGGTGTTGTTAGTCTCTCGTCAACCTGTAGGAGATGTATTTGTTAAAATAAAAAGTAAGATCCTGTACATACATAATTTAAGTTTTATGAAATCTAAGTCTAATAATTTAGACGCAAAACATTATTCATTCTCTTTACAGATTAAAATTGAAACACTAAGTATCTAATTAAAATATGATCATATTACGTAAGCAAAAATATAAATTGTATCCCTTTTCATTGGTCTGTCTTGTTTTATAGGTATCTACGGGTGGTGGACGTCACTTACCATCAAGAGACCCGTCTGCTCGTTTGCTGCTGGCTTTTTTTCTGGTGTATGGGGACACCAGAAAAAAAGCCAGCACAGTTAAGAATCTCAAAAAAAAACTTGCTTTATCCAAGGAAAATATAAAAGGAAATGAAACGGAACCAATTAGTACAACAATTAGTTATACTCGTAGGACATCATTAAAAGACTAAGTACAAAAAGTAACTTGAAAAAATAGTTAAACCCATAGTTTTAACGTTCGTGAGCAAATTAGGGATTGATAAAAGTTTATTTTGACAAAGTTTTTAGATCTACGATGGATCCTTGAAATGTAATTGTGTGACAATCACGATCATTTGTTTTGAGGGCTTAGTGTGAGTTTATTTCACTTCTACCCGATCCTCACGGTGACCGCGTTTGGCGTTATTATTGGCCCAAACTCGACCATAAGTCAGACCGCCTCGGGGAGGTGTTCTATGCTAGTTTGGTGTCCAGGCGTTTCCTGAGTTGGGAAGGGAATTGAGTTCCGCCTGTCACCACTGCGATTGCAGTGAGGACTCGGCTCAGCACACGCTGGCAAGTTGCCGGCTTGAACACCGCATCGCCTGGTCAGCATTGCAGTTATCGGGAGGATCTCTCGCTACCGGACGTCATACCCTCCATGGCCAGTAGTGACAGTTGTTTCACCGCGATCGCATCCTTCTGTGGACAAACTCCACTGGGACCCAAGCCTCGCTTGCCACCGCCTCATTCTGCCCCGAGTGTGGCCGCGGGTGGAATGTAAATGGAGAATGTACTCCGCGCCGTTGCGGGCAGGCAGGAGGGGTCCGGGTGTCTTAATAACAGCAGTTCCCTAATACTACCTATCACACGCGCAGAGTGGAATACCGTGTGGTTTAAGTCGGTCCGATTCCGACACACTACCTCGCCGCAAACCCCGGTGGACTAAAACCACACGGTGTGCCACTCTGCGCCTGTAATAGGAGGGATCCGGGAACTGCTGTTATTAGGACATTCGGACCCCTCCTAGCGCCTGCACGCAACGGCACCACCTTCGGGTACATTCTCCATTTAGGCGACGTCCGGCACACGCGGACATCGCTTCTTTGTGGCTGGCCGTTACGGCGGGTGGAGGGGAAAACCCGGCCCGTCCACCCACGGCCACACTCAGGGCGGTATGAGGCGATGGTAGGCGCGCCTCCGCCGCCCGGTTCGACGGCGACGGATTGGGTCCGAGTGGAGGTTGTCCTCTCGGGCCCTCTGCTTCTGAGAGATGACGTCTTCGCAGAAGGATGCGACCGCGGTGAAACATCTGTCACTACCAGCCATGGAGCGTATGAGGGCCGCCAGCGAGAGATCCCCCCGATGACTGTAATGAGAACCCGGCGCTGCGGCGCCCAAGCCGGGCAAATTGCCAGCGTGTGCTAAACCGAGTCCTCACTGCAATCGCAGTGGTGACAGGCGGGACTCAATTCCCCCCTGGCGACCGTGTGCAGGTACTTCCCGAAGCAACCGTGCCCATATGGCTCTAACCGCCAATATCCTCTGAGGGCGCCAGAGGCGTGCCCTATTCTGGGTGGTCAGAGCCGCCGTCCACACCGGTGCACCATACAGTGCCATTGATCGGACAACCCCCGTGTACAGCCGTCTCGTTGCGACGCTGGGTCCACCCAAATTGGTTAAAGTCGCCCAAAGGCAGACGCAGCGCCGATCAGCTTTGGAGCAAGCTGACGGAAGTGCTCGTCGAAGAGCCACCTTCCGTCGAGGATCAGGCCCAGATATTTCTTTGGGCCCGAACCGGTACGAGGACCGAGTTGACCACGATTGTGGCGCCGATGGGTGGGCCACGACGGGCCCATGGAATAATAGGGCCTCCGTCTTATCCAGGGCCACCCGTAAGCCCAGCGCCTCAATGCGCCCGACCACCAGAGAAACTCCCCTGGTGGAAAGGCGCGCCGCCTCTTGAAAGTTCGCCCCCCGGGCTGTAACCAATGTATCATCGGCGTAACAAATTACACCCAGCCCAGGGGGAAAATCTACTCGAAGGGCCCAGTCATACCCTATGTTCCACAGGAGTGGTCCAAGAACAGACCCCTGTGGAACACCGCTCGACATGGGCCGACACCTCAGATTACCATCTTGGTCCTCGTGCAAGACGGTACGCTCCTCTAAATAGTCTGCCACTAGACGCCTCAGGAACCTACCGCTACCGTCTATCATACCTACCATAATATGGGCGAAAGGTGAAACATTTCTTCACTGGTAATTACTTTACTAGGTCATGAATTTAGGACTATTATTTTATTGTTATTTTATTATAATCACTTTTTATTCATTTTTTTAAAGGGGCAGTGTTGTGGAATCTGAAGAGGTGGAACTTTCTGATGCCATACATCTTAAATGTTGAGGTACGTGAAATGTCTATGAATTAATCGTTATACAAAGCTTCTTTGGCCGCCTGTATTTAATGGTATTTGTCATTTGGTACTTATGTAAGAATGCAAGTGACGTTCAATTATCTCTGCCTACCCCGAGCAGTAAAGGCGTGACTTTATGTATATGTTATCATAATGAGGGTTTTTTTTAAATTACTTGGCCTGTGTCTTATTAGTTTATTTCATTATATTTATAGCACTTAAAAATATAATGCTGCAATGGTTTTTGGGTTATTAACTTATTTTTTTTATCATTGATCAGGTATAATGATAAAAAAATAAATAAACAACACCTCAAGTAGTTTTGTTATTTTTGTCAACAGTTACGCAAATACTTGTTCAATGCTTACAAGTGTTTTCTTTAAAGGTTAATAATCCTAGGCACGCGATTCACATCGCTCCTCATTATACAATCTAAATTTATAGAGTTACTAAAGTAGAAGTAAATAGTTATTTTTAGTCAGGTGTAAGTAATCATAATCAAGTTACAAAATGATATTTTAATCATATTAATGCTATAGAATTCAATTGACTCACTACTCACGATGTCACGAGTAAGGTGAGTCTGAGTGTATGTGTTTTCTAGATGGCTGATTGATTCATACTAATTTAAGCATCCATAGAGTAGCAGCCCTTAGTTAATGTAACATAATATTTCATCATCATCATCATCAACAGCCTTTACTAATCCACTGCTGGACATAGGCCTCTCCTTAGAAAGGAGGCTTTGGCTTCCAGACGGGTTGGCATAGGGTTTGTTTCAAGTTTTTCTTCCCTTTACAGTGCTGTTGTCCTGCGTAGTTTATTCCCTTAGTCGGCTCTTAGGACACCCACGGGATGAATAGGGATGGTGACATTCTGTATTCTTAATCTGTCGCCACACGGATAATATTTAACGACATCAAATTGTGCTTTGGGTCTAATTGAGGTTTGGCATTACGAGCATTTACCAAATAAATTTCTACTATTGACCTAGTATTTACCTTTTGTAATAAATTAAATTCTTGAGAAAAACATATCAGCCTTTGTGATTTTTTAGCAATTAAAATTCTGTTTAGCAAAGCGCGTGTAATATTTTATCAAAAACTCATTGCTCTATGTTCATTGCCATTTTCCTTTATTATTGTTATGTTAATTATCTAATTTATAATCATTTACAACTTACTATTCTATATACAGAACAGTAATCTCGTACAATTTAACGACGTAGTTGTTACCAAGGAAAGCGATTAAAGTTTTTACAATTTTAATTATGAATATATACATACAATTTCAACAGGTATCTTTTTGCGACGGGACGTATTCACTGTTCTCGATTAAAATTTACCATTCTTTAAGATAAACAATATTATAGAAAATCGGACAACCAAGATTATATAATCCTGAACTAAGATTTTTAATGTAGTGGAATCAACAAACTTAAACACTTTTTACTTAACCATCACCATTTGGGTTGTCAAGAATGACGTCTCAATCAAAGAGCACCAGCACTGTTGGAAAAGGATAATACTAGAGTTAAATATACATAAGATGGTTAAGAAATCTGCTGAAGTATAGTAACAGTACTGAATGATTCTGACTCCTAATCGTGGTCTGACCTGGTCAATACCTAGACTTTAAGAGATTCATCAACAGCCTTTAAGGGTCCACTGCTGGACATAAGCCTCTCCTTAGAAAAGAGGTTTTGGCATACTATACCACGCTGTCCAGACAGGTTGGTATAGGGTTTGGGTCAAATTTGCCTTCCCTATGCAGTGCTGTTATCCTGCCTAGTTTTCTGCCTTAGACGGCTCTTACGATTCCCACGTGATGTATAGGGCTATAGGGGTCACATGTCCAACAGTGGACTAGTAAAGGCTGTATAGGGGTGATAACATTCCGTATTCCTAATTGGTCACGACATGGACACGAATTAAAACGAACGAACACACAAAAAGATTAGAAGAGGATATTTAGGAAGACATATTTTTTTCAGAACTTGTAAGAATAGGTATTGTGATACGATTTAAACAATTTTTGCAAGTACTGCTCGACGATTGATTCAATCACTTAAACTTAAAAACAAGATCTTTTGACAAGATGTTAAAATAATTTAAATCCTGATCGTGATACCCCAGTGTTTTGAGAACGATCAATATTGTCCACTGCCAATAATGGCAATGGTAGTAGCTCAATGCTGATTTTAGAACTGGACGTAAAGACGTAAAAAGTACGTGTTAGTTAACCATTATCGTTAGCAGAACCGGTAGAAACTTCAATGTAATTATTACCTAGGTATATAGAAGGAGAGGCCTATGTCCAGCAGTGGACCATTAAAGGCTGTTGATGTGATGTGATATAGAAAGTCTTTCAGAACAAGAAGTTTTGTAATTGCTTACTTTTTGGAATATGATGAAAGATATAGCTAGATGCTTAGTCGTTATTGTATAAACCATAGTGGTTCGATTATATTACCATTGTGTATTTATTATATTAACTGACCATAAGTAGTGAGTTGCCAATTATTTCCTTTATTTCCGTCATCGGTATTATTTTGTACCATAAATGGTTATGTCCAAATACATATACTACTTCTAGTAATAAGCAAGTTTATCTAAAAACACGACATTGTGCTAAGTAAAGTATAAAGTAAAGGACTATCTCAACCACCTAAGCGGTATAATTCAAATAGTTCATTAATATTAAAACATGAGGATAACTGGTAATCAATGGATTTATGAATATTTATAAAATCAAACTGTGAATATTGAGTTTTGAATTTCGTCGTTGCTTTATTCTAACTTTACGACTTTAGTGCTATCGGATCATTTTAAATCTACTAGTAACCTTAACGTAATAGTACAGATTTTAGAATCTAAAAGGCTTTTTAAGAGTTCTTGCTCTTTTTATTCTTTTTATAAATCGGATATTCTCTATTTAATTCGAATATAAACTTCTTGTTACTTCTATAATATTTATTATATTTACTTTTATCTAAGTTTAATATTAATATTCCGTCAAGAACTCGCTATAACCCACCGCTGAGTGTACCATTTGCACTGACGAACTATAGAAAAAAATATTTTGTTATTCGTTCTACTAGAAGCCTCAATAATGTGTGCGAACAATTTGGAATTGATATTTTTCATGTTAGTGTAACGGGAGCGATGAGGTGTTTAAGCCTAAAATTCTTCAGGGGTGATGGGGAGGGGTCCGAGTAGTTTCTTGACTGTTTTTATTGTGATCATCATAGCTGTAAATCCTCCATAGTTTGTAATAAATAAATAAATATTAAATAATTTATTTATATAAAGTAAAGATAAACAATTTCACTTCACATTGTTGGCATACTTTATTTTTCGACGAGTTGTATATTTAACCAGTTATTTAACAAGTAGTAATGTGTGTAAAACACAAGTTTGTTTTTACAACCTTTACAACAGGAAAAAAAATATTTTTTCTGGTCATGGAAGGTAAATATGTGCTAAGATAGATTGTACGGAATGACTCATTCTTTCGACTTTTAGAGGGCTTACATTTCAAGTAATAGAGGTTGGAGGAAAAGAGGGGTAGGAGACAAAACTTTTTTGCGTCAAAAAAAAATCCTCCTTTCTAGTCCTAGTCCAGCAGTGGACTTTTAAATACTATTAATGATTGAAGATGATGATTTATATTTTTCTCGCGTTATTTGCCTCATCGCGATTCGAATTACAGAGATTTTAATATATCTCAACAACTTTAAAATGCAGTCCAGTTATGTCAGGAAGATATATTTTTAATATACTAAAATAATACGACAGCGTTTTGAAGACTTTCTTGTCTATTACTCAAGGAGAAACATTAACAATACAAAATGGCGCATTTTATGGATATTGGTTATTATTATCAACACTTCTGATTTTTATTCCGAAAATAAAGTGTATTAACTATGTGTAATATCCATGTCATCATTATCATCATCAGCCTATCGCAATCCACTGCTGGATATGGCCTCTCCTATTGCACGCCACTTAGATCGATTTTGGGCTTCTCGCATCCAGCTCCTGACAGTCATCTTGGTCAAATCGTCACTCCACCTGGCCTGTGGGCGTCCTACACTACGTTTGGGATCGCATCAGGAATGAGGTGATCCGGCAGAGAACCAAGGTCACTGACATAGCCTACCGGATCAGCAAGCTGAAGTGGCAGTAGGCTGGCCGTATTAGCCGCAGAACCGACAACCGTTGGGGAAAATGAGTTCTTGAGTGGAGACCGCGTCTCGACAAACGTAGTGTAGGACGCCCACAGTTTAATATCCATGTAGCTACAAAAAAATATCTTATGATGTATACCTACGTTAGGTCTAGTAAGCGCTCTGTAATATGTTAGAGAATAGTAATAAGTGTATTGTACTCTAAAGTGGATAATGAAAAGTCTTACAATGAGAATATATTCGTATGTATATAAAGTAACCTCAGATATCTCACACACGACGGTCTAATCCCAAACTAGGCAGAGCCCGTACTGTGGTAACTAAGCTGTTAATAAACATACTTATTAATTTCCAAATACATACATATTATAAATAAATTACACTCAGACACAGAACAAATAATCGTTCTCATCATACATATTTGTCCTGGGTGGGAATTGAATCCATGACCTCCAGTTTAGCAACCATGATCACTAACCACTAAGCCAGTAGGCACGTCAGTCACAGTCACTTAGCAAAATGAGTGAGGGTGTTACGAAACGACAAACATAACGTAATTTTCAGAATATTGCAGAATACAAAGGAAGGCATAATTTTTTATCATGGTAGGTTGCTTTAATACTGACTTTCACTTGTTTGAGCGATAAAAGGTAATGCAAAACGTGCTTCATTCTCAAACGAATTGTACCTTCCCATTTTCACTTACCTTTATATGATTTATAAACCAAGTAAGGTGGGGCGCGGGATGTGCGGGAGCGCTCTGACATGTCGCCTCTAGGTATTCATTAGACAATAACTTTTTGTGCTTGATTTTTATCTTTGGACGGAATTTCTGACGTACTGAAACAAAAATTGTGGCATTGACAAATTGTCTGTTTGTAGAAAAGATTAAAGGCTTGAGACTCAAATGACGTAAGTCACAATAAGCATAGGATACTGGAGCATCTATGGTCAAATAATAATAAATAGCTTATTTTAAATGTAGATTTACAACAATAAAAACCAATATTGATAGTTCGCCATAAGTAAGTTTATCTAGAGGCCAGTTGCGCATGAGATTCTATGCCAAATTTCGATTTTTCCAGTCGTAATTTGAGAAAAAATTACCAAAAATAATGTGTATATTGTTCAGTAAGCTAGGTGAAGTTCAATTCACCAACAACTAACATACATAAGTTTAACTTTTACTAAAACCTTTTACAAATGGAGGAAAAACAGATGCTATTTACTGATAAATCAAATTCCAAATACTTACCAATAACAGTCAATTCGTGTATTTTTGAAACTTTGGAGTATAAAGGAGTTTCTAAAGCGATTTCGCAGGCGTATGGACCCGATGCGGTGAAATCGAGCTTGTCCAGTGTTACTGAAGTAGGCGACAAAGTGTTTAACTGCAAGTAAAATTATAGGATATTTCACATAACATGGATGACGAAGATATTTGACTTAATTCTTGTAGTTGCTGACGATGTATTGTAAATAATTTAATTATATTGTTGGTCTCATGGGGCACAAATGAGTGAGAAGTGAATTTTTACAATGAACATAATTATTAGCCTCTGCCTTTGGCCGCAAGCTAGTCCCCTAGAGTTCGCCGTCTCGATTTTTTTTAACCCCATTATATTATAAAACATATTGAAAAGCACCTCACGATTTTTACGATAAAAATTTACTTTTTGTACTTTGTTTTTTTAGTCAAAGATGATTATTTTAGACAAAAGACAATACCGTATTCTTAGATATAGAAAAAGCCGTCAGTACTGAAGATCCTGATCAGGATAATCGGCCAAAATTTATCTAAGCATTGTATTGTCATCGTTTCAAATTAATTCGGCATTTTGAAGAGGGTCAAAATCACGTTCGAAGATTCCATACCAAGATAATAAAAGCCTATTAAAAAGAGTTATTATCTTTTGTAGGATTTTATTACAGCCATATCAATAAAATAAAGTAAATATTTGTTCACTTTTTATGTCTTCTTTTATTATTTATGGAGTGACAAGATGAACGGTATCGAGTAGCAGGTTTGTTGTGAAGAAAATAAATATAAGTGAGCATTAAAATTGGATAAGTGATGTTGTAAGTGATAAACTACTTACAAAAATAACAACTATTTGTATATAAGTTTTAAACTGTACATATGTAAGTTATTCGTAGTGTTACAATGTATATGTTTTTTGTCGCGTATTAATGTACACGGTGAGTTTTTAGCGTGATTGTTTAGGTTATATATCTTCATAAGAATTCGCTTAGGTAAATCCATTGACTGTATGTTTAATAAATTCGTGTTCAGTATAATTGTATATACTATTACATAACTATTAGCCAAATTAGTCTTAGAAAAGTTCATTAAAATACTTACTAAACTAAAAACTTGACTAAGCTGCTTACCCCATACTTAACTTCGTTTCGAAAAAAAAAAAGTAAAGAAATAATACAATATACGAGTATAAAGTTGAAGAAAAAAAATAATTGTTACGTGTTTTTTTATCGAATGAATTAATATTTATTTCCTAAATTTTATTTGAAAACTAGCTATCCTGACGACTTCGTGCTAATAAAAGTTATTATCTGTATCCAATAGAAATATTAAATAAAAAAAAGTAAACTTATTTTAGAATAATCACTTTTCTTCAAACTTTTTTTTATTTACGATAGGCATAGATTAATATCCATACAACCTAATCAACTTGAAAGAATATCAATAATTTGTTTTGTTTTAATTGACGTCAAATGTTTGATAGTTGAAGACAATTGTTTAATTTTCTTTGTGATTTGTACTAAAAAAAGTATTTTTTATACTATTTTCCTCACTGTTTTTACATTTTTACGCTCCATAAGAACTTTCCTTGTGTCTTAACGAAAACATAAAAAAGAAAAGTAGAGCCGTTCTCGAGGTTTGCAAAACATTTGGCGATTCATTTTTATTTCTATAGATAACTATATACCTTAATTGATTTACGAACTGACAATTTGACAAAGGCAACATTTATTCTTGCGGTAATCAATCTTTAGTGTGAATTTGTTTGTAACCGTGTTGCTTATCAATAATTAGACCTTTTTATTCATTTTTTATTGTTTGAAACAGTCAGAATAGTAAGTTGCCATGCCATGAAAATTTGAGAAAAATTGAAAGTGTTTTCTACTACGAAATTGAAGATTTGTTACTTTATCACTTCTATACCGAGGAACAAACAGACAATTTGGATCTATTCTGAAAACCGAAATTCAACAGTGTGAAAGATTGATAGATAGATAAATAAAAGAGTTCATTTTAAGCATTATACCACGTGACGATATCTGTTTCTACATATTTTGACTTTCTGCGCAAAATGATAAGTCATATTGCTTTTACTAGTAAAGTCCTACAAAATATTCACTCCAGTAGTCGTATTTCGCTAAGCTAGTAAATAAGTAAAATCGACACGAAACGATGATTTTTCTTAACAACTCGTAGAAACCTCATAACTTTTATTTGTACGAAACATTTGGAAATATTACGAAGTTCAGTTTTGTTTAATTTTTCTTGCCACATCGGCAACTGTTTACAGCAAAAGTTTAGAAGTAGGCCACACTTGTCTGGTGTTTACCTTTAAAATTCTGAAACAAGTTGGGGATGTTACATTCACAAGCTGTTACCCGCGCCTTCCTTCTCATTTCTTCTCTGGTGTACGTAAATAATTTAAAAAACCGTTATAACATTATAATGTGTTTTTATTTTTTTCGTTTAACTTTGTCGACTTTTAAAGTTAAAGTAATAACCTTTATACCGATTTACTGTGTGTTTATCGATCATTACATAGCACGTGGGTCACACTGTTTTTATAAATTGGCGGTAAAATAAAAGTGTCTGTCGTGCATCGAAATGAATTAGACTTCAGAAAATTTTCAGTCAAAGATTCAGTCGGCGGTCTCACTCAATAAGATTGTTACGATAGACTTCGATTGGTATTTCATTACGAAACCCTATCTCGTGCCACTGTTTGCAACTGGTTTAATGAGTTTAAACGTAATCGAAATAACCTCAATGATGAATCTCGAGAAGGACGTCCTTCTACGGCAACTACTGAAGATAACGTGTGTGCTGTGCGGCTAATGACAGAAGCTGATATAAGGGTGACATACGATCAGATTGGGGCAGCTTTAGGCATCTTTATGAGTCAAATACTAAAAGTGTTACATGAACATTGAAGCGTCAGAAAGCTTTGTACTAGACGGATACCTCATAATTTGACGAAAGATCAAAAATGCGCTTGGGTACGTGCCTCTCAATGCTTGAAAAGTATGACGGAGAATGGAGATGGATATGACATCGTCACGGGTGTCAAAAGCTGTTTATATTGTTACGAACCTGAAACTAAAAAAGGCGATCTAAGCAATGGATGTTTCCATTTGAAGATTTGCCGACAAAAGTAAAGAATGGCAGAAGTCAAGGGAAACAGATGATTGCCTCATTCTTTGGATGGACAGCTTATTTCGCAATAATCATTCTTGAACATAAAAGGACTGTTAATGTAGATTGGTATATCTGTCATTGTCTACCAGTTGTCTTGGAAAAGATAGAAAATGTCAGACGGCAGCGCCAAAGGAGCAGAATCCTCCTCTACCACGACAACGCTCCAGCTCGTTCCGCCAGACGGACTTGTATTGAAAAAGGCGTGTAAGAAATCCCTAAATAAGAGTGAGTTCACTGCTGCAGTCAATGGTTTCATTTTATGCGACAGTTCCTAAAAAGGAATGGAGACTACTTTAAAAACAAACAAAAAAATAACAGGCGTCTATATCATTCCCTTTTTTATTTCCTAAAATTTCAGTGTGACTGCCCTAGTTGTTGTGTGGCGCGCTTTCTAGCGATTGCAAAAAAGTCGGACATGAAAGCAACGTAAGTGAACAAAACAATAACTTTATTGATTAACTATAATTACTGATAAAAATATACCATGAACAAAGTGTTGATAACATCAAATGATTTAAAGTTTTTTTTTTATATAATGTATCGTTATTTTCGACGATATTTCAAAATTTAATTATATGTTTACTTCAAAATGATCCAATTAATAATCAAAATAAAGTTGTAAAGTGTCCTGACAATGTTCTCCAACCTCATCCGGAAATTAAAGCGAAGAGATGGAAGAAGTACAAATAGAATATATGAGCCTCACTACACTATTCTATTCGCCAGGCTAGCAACGACGCTATATAAAACATTCTTAATGTAAGCTGTTCTTACTTTTGTAACTTATGAACGCGCCTATTGAGTAATAAGTGATGATTTTGTTTACTTACAGATTCTACAGGTTTTGTAACCTACATCCAATGTTATTTCGTACAGAATGTTTCCTATAATGCAAGTCAAAATAAAAGATCAGAAGTCCGACGAAATGTAATAAAATCTCATACAGTGTATCTTCATTATATGTGTATCGCACGCATTTCAGCTGTGATTCGTAATAACTGCTGAATGGGTTACCTGAACCTTATTGTTGTGATATCAGTGAATGGTATTGTTAAAGTTTTCTATTTCGATAATACTTTCGATAGGTTCGATATAATTAAAAGTTTTATACGATATTATACTAAATGTAATATAAATGAAAGAAATAATTACAGGTTCTCATTATTTTCTTACGTGATAGATTGTTCACGCATCTCAACAGTATCAAAAGCGATCAATATGTAGGCCATACGATAGTATTGGCATTACTGACCCGATAGTTGTAGACACTTACTTATACGAGTAATATTATACTTCGGTAGTGTTGACAGTATACAAGAAATTGAAAATTCGAGTAAGTCAATATCATCATAGATCATTTTTAGTATCGATAGTGTCGATACTTTTTTGATATTTTCTATTTTTCAAGTTTAACTATCATATAAATACTGATTCGTGACAATCATTAAAAATTGATAAACCAGCAAACAAATATAAACATATATACGGTGATATATACAATTTAGAAGACAACAAGTATCATAAATGAATGGATTCAACTTAAACTTGAACGAGGCAGGACACTGAATAGTTTTAGGCTAAGGCTTTCTAAAAAGGAGTTTTAAACTCAAAATATGTATTCAGTTCAAATTTATTAAAACGTACTACTACATACGTACAGGAGATACTTTAAATATGCCTTAAGTAATTTCAAGCATTAGAAGCATACCGGCCAGCTTCGTCTACGAAATCATTTCATTTGGTTGGTTTGATAACAATAGGTTTATTTGTATGTTCTTAAACGATTGTGCCTTGAGGAAAAATAAAGAGTTAGTCAGTTTTAAGCTTAAACTTACATTGATCTCCGCACCTGTGATGTTATAGAGCTCGTAAGGTGGATCCCGTCCTCGGACAAACTTCATAAGACGTTGACTATTCTTAAAGAACACCACCTGCAAAGTAACTCTATTTGTGTAACAATATCATGACTGTCGCCTACAACTAGGTAAGCACATAAATATAAGATTAATTATCATCAGTAGGGAGCTTCTTAAATCTTTTACAAACTTAATTTATTTATACACTCATGTTTTTTATTCTCAAAGATCGTTTATAATACGCCTCTGTCCACCAGAGCCTTATTAAAAATAAACACATTTTGTTAATATAATTTGAGTCCCTCTTATGTAATATGGGACAACTCTGCTGCCGTCAAACGGGCAATTATGTTTCCAAATAATAATTTACAATTTAAAAAAAACAAAAAAAACACGTTTTTGGAACTAGTCGAACTAAAAAGTAGAAAATAATTTTATTCTTAAAATGTGCGGGGTGTCAGAAGTCAATTGTTGTAAATATTTTATCGACAGATATTGGTAAAAGTACATAAATTTAATATATTTAAAAAGTCATGAAAACCAAAAAAAGAATTATATTTGAAGTTATAGAAAAATGTTTTGTACTTTTTAGTTCGGATAGTTACAAAAACGAGTTTTTAAAACAAGTAAGTAAGTCACATATGCTTTAGTGGCCAGTCACATTAGTACGTGGCACAAGACACTACTGTATTTTAATATATAAAGAAAAAGCTGTTTATCCGGAAGATCTAGCACAGGAAAATCAGACAAATTTATTAAATTATTGTATTGTTATCGGTCCTTGATAAGTGTGCGTAGTTTTAATTTAATTTGACGTTTTAGAGTCGGTGGAAATCACGTTCAAATATTCTTTTACACAGATGCATACATACAAAGCTAATAAAAGCGTCTTAAAAATACTTTTACATTACTCAAATGTATCCATGCTAGCTCATTATACAGTATTTGTTCTGGGTGGGAATCGAACCTGTGACCCGCTAACGACTAGACCCACAGGCCCGCCACTTATTAATGTAGTAGTAAAAAAATTACTTTACCGTATGTTTTGTGCCAGTTGCTTGTATTAATTGTAACTGTGTATTTGCTTATGTTCAGCCTTGAAAGGCACATAAAAATATGTTTTTATCGGATTATCTTACGTCACAACAATGTTTTGTTTTAATAAATCATATTTATTAAATCACAACATTGTTGTATTATTGAATGCCTGTAGCTCACAGTCGTTAAACAAACATTATATATTTTATACGTATTAAGAAGAACACTAAGTCTTGTAAATATAATCCTTAAAACTTATATTAATAAATCTAATCAATGACAACCTTTTGTCATTGATTAGATTTATTAATTTAACTCAGGATAAATCATAACCTAAACTTCCATTACTCAAAAATTACAACTTAAGGTATTTCAAGTTTAATTAAACATTATTTAGACATATATATTTACTCGAAGAAATATCGATGGAATAGATATTATAGAAGGAATAGAAAAGGAATGTTTTCAAGATTATTTTTAGCACCGACTTCAAACAGACGAGAAGGTAGAACTATTATAATGTTATCTGTTATATTGAGGGTCGCACTTAATTTGGTTTTATGAATTAGATTTGTAATTATTATTTTAATTTTTAGTGCTTTTTGTTGGGGCTGTTAGTCTGTTTTACTTTTTTATAAAAGGATGTATTGTATGTATTGAATTAATTCATTAAAAACTAGAAAACGACCTTTAAAATCATAATTTACTACACTATTCCTAACAAGAAACCTAGAATTAGTGTCCTAAATGACATTGTTTGCCTTTGCCTAAAGCTACTACTATTGCTACCAATAACAACAGGTTTTACACCAAATCACGCTTTACATATCCTTAGAACTAACTAACTAAACGTCACTAACCATTAAACTTAAATTTCTGACAGATAATTCACACAAATTTTCATAAAAGAGTAAAAATAAAATTAACGAAATCGAACTTAGCGAATGATACATGTTTTGCTTTCTTTATGAACTGGAAACATCTTGATTTGGTATTGACTAGACAAGAATAAACCTAGAGTAATAAAAAATCCACAATTTTAACAACATAGTCGTGCTTAAAGCACATCCAGATGAAACTAAATGTAGTCTGAGTACAATGGAGTTCGTTTCTACTGAGTACTGTGAACTGAAAACAACATTAACTTATTTCCATTAACACTTCAACTACGGAAATTCTAGTAACATCATGTAACGTGAACTACATGCCGAAACTTGGAATTCGAATTTTAGATGTGATTTAGAATTTCGAATTGGTTTTGGGTGTGTGCTCAAATACATCTCAAACAATCCGGCCTAGACTCATTTAAACCTTAGTGCCGTTGGTGAAATTTCCTCCATTAGCAACCGGAATAACTTGGTTAGTACATAAATATAGTATACTCGTATCAAGCTCTTACTATATGAAAGCACTAGACGCATTCCAGTATCAAAATTATATTATTAAGTCATGTCAATAAATGGCTTATCTTAACTGATATTATACAAACAGAAGTGACTGATGATTTAGTCTTAGGATGCGATTTTTTTTTTCATAATTTCTAATATTTTTATAGATTTCTAGAAGAATTTTGTAGAACTGTTATACTTCAGCCTATTGCCGTCCCTTGCTGCCGAAGGCCACCCCCAAGGAGCGCCAACCATCCCAGCCTTGGTCATGGACGCATGGACAAAAATGTACTGAAATGTAATTTTAAAACTTTTGTCTCTTTAGTGAAAGGTTAGTAATCTGAAAATAGTATACTATATACATTTCATAAAATTATAAGTGAATGTGTTAACTAGCTAGGTGGGAGTTTTGGACCCAGCATCGCAACCAGACGACTGTACACGGGGATTGTCCTATCCATGGCACGTATGTACGGCGCACCGGTGTGGGCGACGGCTCTGACCGCAAAGATTAAGGCACAGAACATGGGAATTGGAGACGGAACTGCTCGCCGTAGTTTATCGGAAGACGGATGAGTTCCGTGAGGGTAGCGGCCGGCAGTCGGCCCCCACCTAGAGGTACGCGTGTAGTGAGGCAGTCAGGCCGCTCGCCGAGCCACAATGGCTCGTTGGTCGTACTAGGCATGCCTTTTAAGTTCTTTCGTTTCCATATTTCCCGGCAATTTTGAATTTGGAACTGTTCTATATTCGAATGTGTTTAAATTTTGAATATCAAAACAGTTGAAAGTATTAGGATTAATGCTATTGTTTAGTCACAGCGTCGATTGGAATCTGTCCAGATACGTATGAAAATGAATCTGTCTAAGGAAAATGTTCGTGCAATAATTTTCTACAACTTTAGAAGAGGCCTGACACACTTTCAGTGTTTTAAGGAGCTAATATCTGTGTTCAGTGATGAAGCCCCATGTCTGCAGACTATCGAATGCTGGTATTTAGAATTCCAGCGTGGACATACTAGTGTTAGTGACACATCTCGCGAAGGACGCCCAAAATCTACCTTCACTGAAGATAACATCATTGCTGTGAGACAACTAATTCTCGAAGATCGTCATGTTACGTATCGAGAGATAGAGGCTCTATTAGGCATCTTAGGAACAACCATTCAGAAGATCTTGCATGAAGCGCTTGGTGTGAGAAAGCTAGTTTGCCGTTGGGTACCGCATCGGCTTTCGTCGATCACAAGGCAAGATCCCAAGATGGTGTAAGAAAACTCTGCAAAGGTTCAACCGAGGAGAATCACGTCTACGACATCATCAGTGGTGACGAATCTTGGATTTATGCCTACGACCCTGATTCCAAACAACAATCTACAATCTGGGTCTTTCAAGACGAGCCAAAGCCGACTAAAGTTGTTTGTTCTCGAAGCACTTCAAAGAAGATGGTGGTCACGTTCGTTGGAAAAACCGGCCGTGTTGCAACTATTGCATTTAAAGATCGTAGAACGGTTAACGCAGAGTGGTACACCACAGCTTGTTTACCACAAGTCATCGCTGAACTTCAAAAATCTAACTCAAAGCGACGCATCAGCCTGCACCACGACAACGCAAGCTCACACAGCGCTCATCAAACGATTGAGTATTTAAAGTAGGAAAAAGTAGAAATTCTTGACCATCCTCCATACAGTCCTGACCTAAGCCCTAACGATTTCTTTACATTTCCTAAAATTAAGAAAAATCTTCGTGGTCAAAGGTTGAATTGTCAGTCCGGTGAAGAAGCAGTCGACGCTTTCAAGTCAGCCATTTTGAACACCCCCACTTTAGAGTGGAATAAATGTTATAATAACTGGTTTGGAAAAGTGTGTTAAGCTACGTGGTGAATGCTTTGAAAAACAAAAAGTACTATAAGGTTCTAGTTGTGTTTTTAACTAAAACTTTAAAAAAAAATAAAAAGGCATGCCTCGTACTAGCTGGAGGCGTCACGTGTTGCTTTTTCAACGTGGGGGCGCTCCAGCTGCTCACCGTCGAGTGAACAGTTTTTTGCGGGCACGGCTGCTTAGGTAAGTGCTTGCCCTCAGTCGCTACGAGGGAATTGATTTATTAAGGTTGCAGCTCACCCTGCGGCAAATCGGAGAGGACCTCTCATTACCGGCTGTCATGCGTTTCATGGCCAATAGCGACTGATGATAATTTAGTAAGAGTGAGTGGAGAGAACTGAGTGTGCCTGTGGGTGGAGTTGGTGAAGTTGGTCATAATGGGACCACCAGGGGGTATGATCTTTCAATTGTAAAACGAAATTTGCAAATTACCCCAAAATTTACTGAGAAATTGTATACAGACACAAGAAAAAAATTGGCAATAATATTTAATAATTTAAAATCTCCCCGGTTTTTAAATTTGGAATAGGACTTTTTGAATTTCTGTCCCCACCAATGATTGAGTTCGTAGTCGGTCCTAAAATAAATGTTGATTAAAGGTTAAAGTTAAAGGTTAAGAAATTGCGTGCAATGTTCTTCATTAGCCGCTATTTCTTTGGCTACAAGTGGGCACAAAGCATTAAGATTATTTGTTGGCCTTTTTTTAGAAACCCAAATAATTCAATCAACTAAAGTAGACTCAATAGACTAGTTTTTATTTTTTTGAAGTAGAAAAGGAGAAGAACGAAATTTTTTTTGGTAATTAAAGTGACAAGGGGCATAAGTAATGCAATAGTGCCTTCTATCATCAATGACGAATAAGAAAGTTCTAGGTAACTTAAATAGTAACGGAGTGATAGGAATAGAAACGTAGCGGAGAAACTTGCTGCTTCCCCCGGGATAGGCTCTTGTTTCTCTCCTATTACAGGCGCAGAGTGGTACATCGTGTGGTTTAATCGGTCCGATGCCAACACACCACCTCGCCTCACCTCGTTGGGGTGACGTGAAAAAAGGCGTGGCATCGGCAGACCTCCTTATTTTTTTTCCGTGCGGAAATCCCCTCGGATACCACCTGTCGGTGGCATGTCGGACTCGAACCGACTAAAACCGCACGCCGTCTCGGGTACTAATAGCCGGGGAACCAGGTATACCCTAGAAAGGAAGTCCCTGGTGCAATCGGCAGACCTCCTTAGTTTTTGCACTTCATTAAATAAATAGTTACTTTTATTGAATAAATAGTATTTTTTTAAGGGGTTTATTTTACCAACGCAATAAGTTTATGGAATCAAGAATTTCGAAAAAGTCAAAATTCGAGTTATCGAGAGTTTTGGATAAATTTGAATCTAAATTGTTTAGGATGTAAAAATATATATTATTCGCATGTTTTATGGTTTGGGTAAAATTGAATGACGTACGAGCAACAAACACATCTAATTACTCCACTACGGAGAAGGCGGGTAATTGCAAAATTGTGTATCGGACAGTTTATTAATTTTTAATAAAAAACATTTTGGCGATTAGTTTAACGCAGCTACGATATTGAAGCAGTAAAGTTCATTTATAAATTAATAAATCTATTTCACAATTTTGTTTAAAGTTAAACCACAATTCAAAGTTACCCAAAATGCCTGTACTCATAGATAACCTATATATGATCGTATACTACTTACATACGTACTACATACGCACATTCACATTTTGATACTTATAAATGTTCCCAGTACCAGTGTCAGTGATATTTTATTTGTCAATCTACATATTAAAAGATGATAGAAATAAAGAGTATTACGATGCTAGCGTTTTTGAAATGCCGTTCTCACAAACAAATTTTTTTTTAATAGAACCAATTTTTTTGAGTAATTTAATGTTAATTGTGTCTTACCTTATAAAGTGAATCAGGATCAACATTATGTTCACATCTTAAGACTGCGTTGTGTCGATGAACCACAAACCGAGGCGCCCGTAATTCAACCCACACCTCAGCCATGCCTGCCACTGTAGACAAAACGAACAATATTACTATCGTAAACTACCCATGAGAACTCGTCTCCTGAGGCATAAAATCAAGTAAACACATTTAAAAAAATTGTTTACATGGACGTATCATGATAAACATCTTTCGTTACAAAAGGGACCTTATTCATGCTAAAGCATGTTATAATTTTATTGAATTATTAGTTTTTAACTTAGGCATGGATTTGATACAGGTTGCCAGTTTAAACAATCATCTAAATAGATGATAAAAAACTAAACATCTAAAATTTGGAACCGTGAGAGTAATGCTTCTGGCCGTATGGGACGACTCGACCGGTATGATACATCGGCCTCAGGGAAAACTGATATAAACCAATGTTCCCAGAACGCTAGCTGTGCTGCTACGTTGAATGGCAAAATATATTTTTATGTTTCTTTGTAACTTTTCTTAAGTAGAAATAATATTGATGAATATTATTCAAACTTCAGAAACAAATGGTGGTAAGAGAAATGGATAGGTCGAATTAGCAATATCGCGAGGCTTGAATGGGAAAGAGAGCTAATTCTCCTTTAGTTTATTTTGGTGACCAGTGGTTATGCCGGTGGGTGGTATCCGCGGGGATTTCCGCACAGACAAAAAAAAGGTATCCATATAATAACGCCGCTTTGGCCGTGTTCCGTAACATTTGCCTAGTAATTTTTTTAAGATTGCATTAGGTTTTATTATTCTTTACATTATAGGTATTGACAGAAGTGTTATTTTTTGGTTTGCATTGCAAACGCTTCCTAAACCTTACTTAAATAAATGAAAATAATGTACTACGGAATTTTACAGGTACCCTAAATAGATCTATAAAAAAGTATAAGAAAGGAATACATATCTCTTACTTTAACCATTTTTATATTTAACATATTACAAATTATACACATATTATACAGGTTATTTACGAAGCTGTTTTAAACAATACAATATTATGTCTTAGCCAATTAAATACGTTACATACGTTACGCATTTAATGTATTATCGACAAAGAAATTGGTTTACCACTCTAAGGCTGAATATCATTTGCACGTACAAAACATCAAGGGCTATTTTCGCTTGACAGATTAATAACTGCCACGTCAGAATCTGTCATTCCAGTTTATTTAAACTCAGAACTGATGGCTTGCAATTTAACCTCCTGCTACTTTATGTGCAATAAAACGTTTTGTTTAGTTTCGACGTAAAATAATTGAATTTTGAATCCAGGGAATTAAACTTTATTGTATATGTTTTTAATAGATTTAAAAACGTTCCATTTCCTGCTAGTAGCGTAAAGGGTTTTAGGATTAATAATAAACAATGACTTATCATTTAAAAATAACATAAATTTATTGTCCTTCATAAAACGTAACAGTATCATTTAATTGTAAAAAAGAAATATAGGGAAATATCAGCCTAATAACGCGTGTTTCCACCATTAGCTTCGGTGACTGCTAACAAGCGACTTCTCATAGAGCCAACGAGGCGTGAACAAATGTCTGTCCCGCGCAAAGCCTCCCAAACTTCATGGCAATGACTATCGATGGCATCTCGAGTTCTCTCATTGCGGTGATGCCATCGCTGCACCATAAGTCCCCAAAGGTTTTCGATCGGGTTAAGATCTGGACTTTTAGACGGCCATGGAATCAAGTTAATGAATGAATGTTGATCAAACCAGGTACGAGTCACTCTAGCTGTGGGTAATCTGCAGTTGTCTTGTAGAAAATTAAATTGAGGCAGATCGCTTTTCGGGTAGACGTTCCGGACGGTTGGCAACATAGCATTTTCTAAATTATCCACATAATCTAAAGCGTTGGATTTCGGAGGTAGTCTGCTTAATTCTCCGACTCCATCTGCCAACATCCAGCCCCAAATATTTACACTGATTCTACCAGAATCCGTGGTCGGCACAACATGTTCTTGAGTGTATCTAGTATTATTGTAACGCCAGAGAGTCATTCGACCATGTTGGCTAGATTTGAACGTTTTTTCGTCCGTAAATATCGTAGTAGACCAATCGAAATTCAATTACTCCCGGTCAAAATTTAAACGAGCCGCTTTGTTAGCGTCGGTCAAATAAACTTTTTTAGCGTGACGTCTGTAATGCAATGGTCTCTTTCGTAACATCGAATTCTTCTGCAAAATCGCTGGTAGAAGTGAAGCCGTTCTCTTCGTACTGACGTCTCATTGTTTCTCTTTGCTCGCCGGACAGTGCAGGCGGCCGACCACTTCGCCTATGATCTTGAAGATTACCTTCTTCCCCTTCACGTCTTATCCAAAAACGTGTCGTATATCGCGATATGTTCAGTTCTCTAGAAATATCACTTATGTTGTATCCTAACCGATGTAATGATATAATTTCGGCTCTTTCCTGTAAGTTTAAATTACGCGACATTTTCTTGACAGTAAGTGACTCGAGTTGATCAATACCTGACACTTGACAGATCATAAGTCAAAAGCGATTCGAAAATGAATAAGTCTTTTTAAGTATGGTATCTAGCATAAACCTCCTTGATTTATAAGGACAAGTTGGTTTGTGTTTACATAAAATATTCTCTATTTCGTTGACATCACAGTTCAAGTTGCATGCTCTTTTAACCATTGCTCTGTGATTGGCTCACAGTTAACCAATTACGTTAATGTAATACAGTAATCCTTAGCGAATAATTATGTTACTGGGAGATGTCATCAAAAGTGGTAAACCAATTTCTTGGTCGCCTTTAGATCGAAATTGCCCTGTATATATATATGCATATCATTAAAATGAATTTATTAGAAGATATCTGAGATTTAAAATGCGGGGGCGCGATGGCCTATAAATATATTAGTTAAAGATTTTCTGTATTACATTCTAATCATATTAATATAATAAAATATATTAATTACACCACATTAGTATCTACATTGCATCCGTGCGAAGCCGGGGCGAGCCGCTACTTAATAAATAATACAGTTTGAGAAAAACGGTTCACAGAATGGACATCTTGATGTTACAGTGAGGCTTTGTCCTGCTCTGGATAGTTAAAATAAAATTATATAATAAAAATAAGCACGCCTGATGTTATTCGTATCCATGTAGTACATTTAATGAGTATGTATTGGTGGGTCTAGCAATGCTGATTAAGCCAATAATGTTACGCCTATAAAAATGAACCTCTTTCCTGTTCAGTTCTCATGAAAATACTCACCACCACAAAACACCACTTTATTTCTACCTATACACATTACAGAAATTATATTACTACTACTATACACATTACAGTAGTTATAGGTAACATGTTTCAAGGTAGATCTAGTTATATTAATACAGGATATACACACTTAGGTTTGACCATGACATGTAATTGCAGTGGTCTGAATCTAGGTTTAGCCGCACTATGGCCATTACCCGTTACATATAGTCTTCGATTCGCTTCAATTTCATGTGAATCGTCGTGACTTCCATCAACCGATCAATCATTAACCGATATAAGTAATTAACTCGGGAAACAGTCTATTTCTACCCACAATCTTACTACTGAAATTTGTACATACTTTCAAACATTATCATCATTATTTTAAACAACAGAAACATACATGAATATAATAAGGGGACGTGCACACTCAGACGACAAAGGCCTTCTTATAACAAGGCACTTGCAAGCATTAGCGCAAGTCACCTAGTCGACTTTACGGTGATCATCTTGCCCGGCCTACAGACTAAATGACGTCGTATTTTACATTTACCCTCGCAATCCACTGTAACAAACGTGGGGTGTAAATTTAAACTTTCATCTAAATTCTTCCGTGTGATTTGCAGATTATATTATCAATGTAATTTTCGCTGCTATATTAATTTAAAAATCCATACAATAAACCTTGTTCTATTGCCCCCACAGTATAGAAGAAAAATACTTTAAAATGTTTAAATAACATTTACCAAGTCATCATAACACAATTAATGATTTGAATCGAGTTTTGCTTTTATTATTTATTTATAAAACATAATTTATAAAAATATTCATATTACCTTTCGAAAAAAATGTGTACAAAAAAACAAATCCTATGAGCAAAGCTTATCGAGGTATTAATTAATTGAATCACAATATAGTTTTAATTCAGAATCTGTCATTATTATATGGACACTAGCCACGGCTTTGCTTCCGTGATGATATCTTATTTCGTGTTTCTAACTTTGAAAATGACAATCTTTCATATTTTGCCCCTCATTTTGCCCCCCCCCCCCCCCCGGCGGTGTAATTTACAAAAATCCTTTGTTAGCGGAGCATAAAAGCATCAGCTGCCAAAATTTCAAGTTTATAGTCCCAGCGGTTTAGGCTCTGCGTTGATAAATTAGTCATTTAGGGCAAGTAATTTTATTTGTGTAGATTCTTTGCGTTTTTTCATTTCCGCGCAAATCCACACAAGCGGTTGGAAACAAATGTTTCTGATTTCATCAGAGCTGAAGACTGGCCATCATCTAGCACCGATCATAATCTACTGGATAAGGATTTACGGTTATTTTTGGAGAGTGTGGCATACTCTAAACACTATGATAACTTGGAGTCCCTAAAAATCCATAAGATTGGCAGTGAAAAATGTTCCTATGGAGAGAGTGTTTCAGTTTCAGAAATCTTTATTCTCATAAGAATTGTACATTCACTTACATGAGAATTTATACATTAATAACTATTAAATATTCCGATGAGCATGCATGGGTAAAAAATTAATATTATGTGACAATGAGGGTCTAAATGTATGTACGCATGTGAAGTAACAAAAAAATTGAAATAATTACCTTTTACCAATTTTAACAACAAAATCCTCAAACAGTATCAAAGCTAACAAAATTCATCACAAATAATATGTGTTAATAACATTACATTTAAAAAAAAAAAATAAAAAAAAAATAAAGGAGGTATACATACAAAGGTAGTTCTACTGACTTAAATTTTATCAACCCAAACAGAAACAAAATTATTTTAATCCTACCTACATTCAAACATTAGACC